ACCAACCCCACCAAGTATATGCATGTATTCCAGATGATACACTGCACGTATATGTATTGAAACTTTTTTAAGTTTAAATAAACACGTGGGTGTTATATATATATGTATATTCATATACTCTTTATAAATAATGAATCCCCATGCCGCTTTTAGCGTACGTCCTTTTCATATACCCCTGACTAGTTTTTAAATACACTATTTGTGATAAAATTATACTTTCATTTTACCTTTCGCCATAATTTTCATTCACCATATGTAACACACCCTTTTATGCTTATATAATATGCACACTTATGTACAACTGTGTACTTATTGATAAGTCTAATTTATAATGTATTTTACTGATAAAAAAAAAAAAAAAAAAGAAAAAAAAATCAACAATAAAATTATGAACAGAACGAAGAAGACAGGGGAAAATTATAACTTGTTCATAATTTTATTGTTATTTTTATTATTATTTTTATTGTTATTTTGATTGTTATTTTGATTGTTATTTTGATTGTTATTTTGATTGTTATTTTGATTGTTATTTTGATTGTTATTTTGATTGTTATTTTGATTGTTATTTTGATTGTTATTTTGATTGTTATTTTGATTGTTATTTTGATTGTTATTTTGATTGTTATTTTGATTGTTATTTTGATTGTTATTTTGATTGTTATTTTGATTGTTATTTTGATTGTTATTTTTATTTTTAATTTAATTCTTAATTTCACTGTTGATTTTGTTGTTGATATTGTTGTTAATTTTGTCGTTAATTTTATTGTTAATTTTATTGTTAATATTACTGTTATTTTATTTTGTATTATTATTTTTTTTTTTTTTTTTTTTTTTTTTCATAATTCCCTGTTGTTCATATGTTTTTTCCTTCCGTGTACATTTTCCCGTTCTTACGCTTTTTTTTTTTTCATGAATTTCCACATTTCCTAAGTTTTCTTTTTTCTACAATTTCCCATTTGTGCATAACTTCCTTTTTTCTATTTCTTTTGTTACACGCTTGTTACGTGAATATTGTATTTTCGTTCCTTTTTTGTTCCATTTTGTTCCACTTTTTTTCAATTTTTGTCCTTTAACGCTTGCTTCCTTTTTGTTCCACTTTTTTTTTTTTTTTTTTTTTTTTTTTTTTTTTGCTTCCTCATGCGACCTATTGCGCTACACAATTTTCCACCACCATCCCCATATTTTGCACCACCTTTTATTTATATCCCTCTTTTCACGTCATTTAATTTACGAACGAGTCAGAATTTTTCCTGACTGATAATTAATTTTTAATGTTCATAACGAATTTATCAAAACGTTTATATGATATTACAATAAAAATTAAAAAAAATAAAAAAATTGAAAATACTTTCACCTTTAATTTTACCCAAATGTCTATTTTTGAGTGTGATTGAGAGTCATATGGGGGAAAAAAAAAAAAAAGGAAAAAGAAGCACGCATTTTTTTTTTTTTTTTTTTATGCCATTTTTATTCCATTCTTATTCCATTCTTATTCCATTCTTATTCCATTCTTATTCCATTCTTATTCAATTTTTATTCCATTTATATTCCATATTCATGCCCTTTTTATTCCATTTCCATGTCATTTTTACGCCATTATTTATGGTATTTTCCTTTTATTTTTTCTCTTCCGCCTCACCTCCCACCTTGATTAGAGTACAAAAGGAATATTATAAACACGTTACACTTCACATGTTGCAGGTTTCATATTTTACATTTCTCATTTTTTTTTTTTTATTTTTGTACGTCCAAAAATATTTAAACTGTTATACATATACACACCTTATTGTAGTTTGAAAAAAAAAAAAAAAAAAAAAAAAAAAAGCTCTTATAACAATTTATATAATATATACATATGCATGTACACATATACACATATGAATTTTTTTTTTTTTTTTTTTTAATTGTTTGGTAGAAGCATGCCTTTACATTTAAATGTATGTAAAGAGTGTGAATGTTTTCATTTTTCACGCTTTTTATGCCTTCCACACCCACTTAACCTTTGTTCAATTTAGTTATCCTCCATTCTCATTTCTCCCCCCCCCAACCCCCTTTTTCTTTTTTTTTTTTTTTTTTTTTTTTTTTTTTTCTGTGTGCATATTTTATCAACCTACTCTGGACTAATATACAAAACATGACTTCATTCACACATGTCCAATTTTGAAGGCCACATTTTTAATGTCACATATACCCCTATGTATATTTGTACACTCAATTTTGGGAAGATTCCTATATATTTACCTATCTACTATATAAACCCCCTACATTTGTTCAATTATAAATACATAATTTCCGTATAAGTACACACGCACAACTATCGCACATTTAAAAAAAAAAATATATATATATATATTGTAGATATACTTGCAGACAGACACACATTTGGCTTGTGTTATAAGACGTTTGCTTCATGTTCGTCAAACATAAGAATGTGTATGTATAAGCATATATATATGTGAATATGTAAGGAAATGCATATGTATACATATGCATGAATATACATAAGTGCACAGATAATGAGCATGCTTCTCCCCTCCCTCCCCTCCCCCCTCCAATTCATGTTCTATAATAATTAGGTAAACACATACTCTTTGGAATCAACGAATTGTAAATATAAATAATCTTACTGAACATATATGTTACACGTATGCATGCATGTGCACATAACGCACAAGTACAGATGAACATAAACACACGTCTATATTATGACCCATATGAAGTCGAAAATATGATTTTCTCCATTTTTTTGTGATCCTTTGTTATCATTTCATGAATGAATGAATGAATAAATAAATGACTTCGATGTCATAGTGTTAAAAAAGTTATACCTGCATTTGAAGGTACCTATACAGAGAAATAATATCATGTGTATGCATGCACACACACGTACAAGCATGCAAACATTTGTGTATATTTGCACACGTGCGTACACAAGTCTACACGTATATACGAACAAATGCACATGTATAAATACAGACACAAATATATACGCATATAATGAAGCGTAGTTTGAATACTGTGAAAGGGAAAAACACAAGTTTCGGAAAAATCAATATGAACATGCACGACCAAATAAAAATGAATAATTTTTACGTGAATAATAACCCGAGCAGTAACATTAGCAGTAACCTTAGCAATAACCAGAGTAGTAACCTTAGCAGTAACCCGAGCAGTAACGCGGGCAATAACCCGAACGGTAAGCCCAATAATAACCTAAACAGCATCCAAATGAACAATCAGAGGAGCATCCCGAATAACTACAACTTAAATATAACAAATTCTGAACTCTCCCAGAACATTTTGAATGGTCAAAATGCACGTGGGTATGAATATAATTTATTGCCCAACCAAAGCCCAAAGAGTCACCAAAATGTTATGTATGATCAGAAAATTGGGAGTAACAATAGTAATTATGTCAGTAGCAGCGCGAACAACAGAACAAACAATTATATGAATGAAAAAGAATTTAATTCACAAAACGCAAATTTTTTGGAAAATTTGCAGCACCATGTAAATAACATTCACAATACACAAAATAACAACGTTTCTTATGTAAAGGGAAAAGGACATATTTTACATAATCAGAAATATTTTATGACCAATACAAATATTAACATTGCAAATGACAACAGCAAAAACATGGCACATGTGATGAACTGTAATCCAAATAATTTGCAGCAAAATTTGTGCGCTAATAAAAATTCAGGCGCGAGTAAAAATTTGTGTGTTAATAATAATGTGCACTCGAATAAAAATTTATATCAAGCTAAAGAAGCTCAGAAAAAAGGAAATTTTTCGAATTACAATTGTCACCAGGATTCTTCCATGAATCAAACCCAACAATTTTTTAATTCAAAAAAAAATTATTATCAGGGCAGTAATAATAACAATGCGAACATGAACAATATTCATGATGTGCGCGTGGTGACTCCTGCGGGAAGTGCCATTAGTTTGCATTGCAATCCGCATGACAATTTTTTAACAAAAAATATAACCGCAGCAAGTGGTGCAAATATTTGTTCAATGAACAATACTACTCAGGGTTACACAAATGACATGACAAAAAGTACACACCCAAATCAAAGTACCATCTTTAGTAGTCAAATGAATTCGTGGAATGCGAAATTCGATTTGGGGAACAGTAATAATAGTAGTAGTGCAGTTAATAAAGTTCTTCCAATTACACAAAATATGAACACTGCAAATGGAAAAATGGCTAGAGGGAAGCCAAATGATGATAGAGGTAACTACAATGTTGCAACAAATAATTATGATAGGAATTTTATGATTAAAAATCATGGTACTGTTGGTTCGCATTGCGTTGACAGTATTAACAACAATGTTAAGAGTGATGATCAGAGGAGAGGTGGTGGTAACTGTAAAAGTAATCAACATAAAAAGAATCTAGCTAATCATAATAGCAACAATAATATAGGAATAAACATGAATGATAAAAAAGTTGAATACAATTTGCACGATATTAAAAATCAGGTAACTAGTAAGAAAGATATGCAAATTGAAGTTCTACAAGGTGGCATGGTTTCGAATAATAATGATGCAATGAGTGGTTACAACGAATTAAAAAAGAAATTCAGTGGAAGCATGGCAAGTGCATTACGTTTTTCTAGTGTCAATAAGAACAATATTAACAATGTCGACCCGAGGAAAGATGTCGACATTTATGTGGCAATGAATAATAATAATAATAATGCCTTGTGTGCTGGTACCACTGTCGCTGGAAACCCTATAAATAATAACCCTAGCCATGCAGTGAATTTCATTAGTCCTTCGAATAACGGTAATCAGGTGATCGACGCCACCAAAATATACGCTTCTAATATTGACAACATATCTCATCAATCCAATTTGCCCAGCACACACGGAGGTGGCAGCAGTATCCAGAGCAGCCTTCCCTCGACCACTTTCAACTCGGGTAACTTCAACTCGGGTAACTTCAACTCGGGTAACTTCAACTCGGGTAACTGCAACTCGAATAATTTCAACTCGAACAATTTCAACTCGAACAATTTCAACTCGAACAATTTCAACTCGAACAACTTTAACTCGAGTAACTGCAACTCGAAGGGCGGTGAAATAAGCAACATTCAAAAGGCATTAACTAATGACATTCAAGTGCATTGTACGAATAGGAAAAAGGAGAATTTATTGGCAATGCAAAATTCCAACGGCAGTAATGACATGTACTGTGGAGATAAGAAAAACGCCATAAACAACAATCCCCACAATGGCTTAAATTGTTCCCCTCAGGATTCTCAGAAAATTGGAAATTTTGTTACAAGAGGGAGCAATTATGAAAACATAAACAAGTTCAATAATAGTAGTTGTCATAATGGCAATCAGACGAATTTGCTAAATAATTACAGTAGTGGCTTTTACAATAGCATGAATAAAACAAGTGCGAACAACAATTTTGTTAAAGCGAACGGCGAATTTCTAATGAATTCTAATATTGATGACAAGAACAATGCAATGGGTAATGAACCCTTTATGAATACAAATAGCCATTTAAATGGAGTTTCAGGTGATACTCCTACGGAATTCCTGAAGGTTTTGCAAAATGATCAGGTCAATACAAATCATGTAAGTGGTAACAACATAAGTAACACATCTAATGGAGGTGTCATTAGTTATGGAAAAAACCATGACAGTGGATACAACAGTGTAATTTCAAATGACATCATGACTAATATGTCATCCACCCAAAAGGCAAACTCCCAATTTAGCACAATAAAAAACATGAACATGATTCCAACGAATAATCATTTGTTCAACACAGTTAACAAGTATGACCCTTCTGTAAATAATTTAAATTCACATCATCAGTCACATCATACGAATGAGCAGAATAATGTTATGGTTCATCATCATCTTCATCAGCTCCCAGGGTCTGTTAAAATTGGTCAAACGAGTAATAACCTAGGTAACAATTTGAATGCTTACAGCAAGACTAATAACAACATGGATATAATGAAAAATCAGAATCTAGAAAATGGCACTATAAACGTAAATAATTTTCTAAACAGTAATAATTGTATTAATAGTAGTAACATTGTTAGTTGTAGCACTTTCCCAAATGGTAGTAGCAGTAGTACTAGCAGCAACAGTGGTAGTGGTGGTGATGGTAATAGTATAACTAGTAATAATAATTTAAATGCATTAAAGAACAAAGAAAATGGCAGTGGCAAAACTTCACTGCCACATACTTCTCCTCTGCCACATACTTCTCCTCTGCCACATACTTCTCCTCTGCCACATACCTCACCACTGCTACATACTTCACCACTGCTACATACTTCTCCTCTGCCACATACTTCTCCCCTGCCATATGGCACAAGTAGTAATTATACCTGGAAAAAAGATTTTTACAATTCTAAAATTAGTAAGTCCAACATATACGCACCAAAATTAGGAGAATATTCGACAAATGGGTCAAGTAACAGTGGTTATATAAGTAGTAACATAACTAACATTGGGAATGGCATAAATAATGGAATAACCAATACAGTGTCGAATGCACTAACGAATAACGCCAACGAAATTGACAGTATTACAAACAATTTGACAAATGCATTATCAAATAATATTACAAATAATATAACAAATAATTTGCAAATTATCCATAACAATAACGTTACACAGAAAATTAATAATAATATATCAATAAATTTATCCAGTGGGATGACTGGGATGACTGGGATGAGTGGGATGAATGGGATGAGTGGGATGAATGGGATGAGTGGGATGAATGGGATGAGTGGGATGAATGGGATGAATGGGATGAATAATGTGAACCTTAGTAATATGAAAAAATTTAAAAAAAATGTTTTTAACGCTGCGAGTGTAGGTGATAATATGTCACATATGCGAGACGTTAATCAAAATGTAGCTAAATTGGATTCTTTAGCGAATTTTAATGATCCCATGAAAATTTCCCCAATCGATAATGGTAGCATCCATAATGGTAGCATCCATAATGGTAATATCCATAATGGTAACATCCATAATGGTAACATCAATAATGGAATGCATAATAGTAGCATCAATAATGGAATGCATAATAGTAGCATCAATAATGGAATGCATAATGGCATCCACAATGGAATCAATAATGGCATCAATAATAATAATCATGTGAAGAACAATGTGTACAAGGCCATGCTGAATAATAATATATATGCTAGCGAATCAGACCTTACCGGACGCAATGGCGTACTTTCCAATTACTACAACATGAGTGATAGTGGCATAAATCACCTCAATGAGAATAGCTTCAAAGGAGTGCAGGTGAACTCGAATATGAATATCCCAATGAGTGTGCAATCCGATATGTCCATGAATGCACAGTCCAATATGTCCCCAATGAAGATGATAACCAAAAATGATACACTGGATCAAGTAGATACAAGAAAAGGATTATCGGTGCAGAGAAGGGTGTCGGATGTAAATCCATCGAATCCATATGGCAATATAGACAACATCAATTGCTCAAATGCACGAACCAACGCTGATATTTCTGGTATTTCTAAATTGAATATGATGTCAAAGGGGATTAATTGTAAGGGTTCATCCATGGCCAATCCAGCGTATGACAATTTCTATGATGTACATAATCAGGCCAATGCAAGGAATTGTATGAAAATGAACAACTTAAATATGAACGTAGTAAATCAAAGCAATAAAATGAACAATGACACGTCACAAAGGTATGCATTAAACAGAGGAAATAATAACATGGAGACAAAACATTTAAGTATGAACGAATCGTTACTAAATAATCAATTAATGATGTGTAATAGGAAAACAAACAAAAATGAAATAGTCGATGAAAAGAATAAAAACTGTTTACCAACAGATGTGAACAGCCATTTAAGCAAAGACTATAATATGAGTAAGGAAAAGATGGATTCAAATTCGAATAGAAACAAAGAGCCACTATCCAATTCGATTGGTAGCAGGTGTGGTGCATCTAATTATGATATGAATGAGAACCTTCATGCAGAGAAAAGAAAGAATTATAATGACATGCATCACATTAGTGGTGATAATAATAATAATAATAATAGAATTAGCAATGGTACTATTAGCAGTGGTAATAATAATGGCCTAGTGGAAAACACCAAAAGAAGTATTATGCAATTAAACAAAGTTTTGTATTCAGGAAACATAGCTAATAATCAGAGTGACATTGAAATGATGAAAACATTGCAAAGAAGTAACAGCTTATCGAAATTAAACAACGCAAATTGTATACATATATCTGACTTCAATAGCACAATCAATTCAATGGGAACAACCCCTGCTAGAAACAGCGATTTGCATAATGAAAGGAATAATAAAAATGGAATAATTGGTATGAATCATGTAAACGTTGCCAATCCTCTAAATTCGACAAACATGATAAACAACGACTCAATGTTATTACCCCAGGAAAAGGAACACTTATTGACTGAAGATAAAAACAGAAAAAAAAAATTATGTGGTAAGGCAAATCTGAATTACGGACATGTAAATTATATGAATAATAATAATAATGATAATGGAAATCAGGACACAGGAATGAATAACAACTATTGTACAGATCTCAGAAATGGTGGAATTAACATCAATTTCAATAATCTGAACCCATCTGGAGGTAGCCAAATTGATCCCATTCAGAATATTATAAATAGTGGAAAGGCACAAAGTGAGCTGAACAGGAATAAGAACTATCATGTCAATTCAAATGATATGAATAAAAATGCTTATACCAATAGTGATATTGTTAATGACATGAATTATGCATATCAGAATAAACCATATAATGAACAAGTGTACACAAATGCATATGGAAATTACATGATTGGATTAAGAAAAGACATGATCAGTGAAGGAACGATCAATGGAGGAATGACCAATGGAGGAACGATCAATGGAGGAATGACCAATGGAGGAATGACCAATGGAGGAATGACCAATGGAGGAACGATAAATGGAGGAACGATAAATGGAGGAATTATCAATGGAAATGAATCCAACATTCAGAATATCAATTATCCAATAGTAAACAATTTCAATAACACAAATTTTTCCAATTCATATAAAGGCATGTCTGAAAATAACAAAAGTATGTATCTGCAGTGTGGTCTCAATCAGATAGGGGGAGAAGATGTGTCATCAAATAATGATGAAAGTAATACTATAAATTCAAAAAGCCTTATCAACATCAACAACAACTTCAACATGTTAATGAAAAATGCGAGCACTGATGTAGTTGAAGATCATAGTGCCCTTGTTGGTTTAAGAAGCGCAGGAAATGGAACTAGTGGAAAATATGATGGAGATTTAATTCAGAGTGGTGGCAAAAGTGGTAGCAAAAGTGGTAGCAAAAGTGGTAGCAAAAATGATGGCAAAAGTGGCAGCAAAAGTGGCAGCAAAAGTGGCAGCAGAAGTGGCAGCAAAAGTGGCAGCAGAAGTGGCAGCAGAAGTGGCAGCAAAAGTGGCAGCAAAAGTGGCAGCAGAAGTGGCAGCAGAAGTGGTGGCAGCAGTGGAAGCATCGGTGATAGTAGTAGCCCTAGTAGCAGTAATAACAACATCGGACATGTAAACAACAATGACATATGCTTGGGATACAAACAAATGAACAATTTCCAAAAGAAAGGGAATGTTGGAGTTATGGATGGTGTTGCGCATGGCTTGTATAACAAGGTTACGAATGAGACGAATGTTAAAAATAATGCAAATGGATTGTTAAAAGGAAATTTAGAGATAAATAATAGTGAGACAAATGCATTTTCATCGAAATATGGCATAGAGAGGAGTATGACACATCTCAGTGGTAGTGACAACGTACAGAATATTTTTAATAAAAATGAGAATTTAAGTAATATTGTGAATGTATCAGGTTTTGACACATCTAGAAAAGGAATAAATTTCGAGAATCCAAACAATTTATCATATAGCATAAATCCAGATTTCCTTGTTCAGAATTGTGCATATGTCAAATCAAAAGGATCTAATGCAAATACTGTTCTTTGTGAAAACAATATAATGTCTATAAATGGTGGAAGTATAAACCAAATTACTAGTTTAAGTGCAAATGGTGAAAATCTCATGGATTATAAAATGCAGAATATAAATAATGAACAAGTCATTATGTATAGCAATAATAACACAGGTGTATTAAATATACATGATCCCCAGTTAGCTAATTTTTCTATGGTTCAGAAAGGTCAGGAAATAAAATCCATGAATGTAAAAAGTTCATGTAAAAGAAAAAAAATGGATACTGTAGCAAAATCGAATGAACAAATCAATGCAACAGATTCTTTGTCAAATCCAAGAAGGATAAGGAAAAAAAAAAATGATAATGTAAATTTACCATTGCCTTCATCATCCATGAATGGAGCATTATGCACATCGTCACATATAGATATGAATAAAACCACTGATGTTAATCAGAATTGTAGGTTGCAAAAGGAAAATTACAATACCATGACCCATCTAAATGCAGTTCAGTTTTCTACCAGTGGAGAACACTGCATGCAAATTAGAGATATAGGTAAAAATTCAGATAAAACAGATAAAATCTGTGAAGAAACAAATAAAGTCTGTGAAGAGAAAAATAAAGTCTGTGAAGAGAAAAATAAAATCTGTGAAGAAACAAATAATATCTGTGAAGAAACAAATAATATCTGTGAAGAAACAAATAAAATCTGTGAAGAAACAAATAATATCTGTGAAGAAACAAATAAAATCTGTGAAAGTAGCATGCAGCAAAGTGCAGTAGAAAACATAGTGAAGAGGCCAATATTTGATGAATCTAAAAATGTACACGAAAGTTACACTGGAGTACAGGAAGCAAGTATGGAATATAATTTACAGTGGAATGATAACAAACAAATGATCCACATAGATGCAGTTACAGCTAGTTCGAATGAGTATAACTCATTAATCATGGATTCATCAAAAGGTGTTAATATTAACGAACATGGAAGTGAAAACATAGAAAAGACACATTCAAATTATGAATTAAAAAATGATGGAAATAGAAATGTTGAAATGGATTTAGCAAAAGTAGCATTGGAATCTGCCGTTTGTAATATGGAAACACAGAAAGTGATTGACTTCAAGAATTCAAATGTTAACCTTCTCTCATGTGATTTGAATGAAGAGGCTAATAGAAGATTCAGCTTTGACCGTAAGGACGGAATTAACATTAATAAGGAGACTAATAATTCATCAGACGAAGAAATTGTCAATAGTAAAAATATTATAAAAGAACAAAATGATGAACATCAAAGTGGAAATAACTCAGTGATACATAACGAATATAGTGTGGAAATTTCTAACTTGGATGCAAAAGATGAACAAAGTATTAACAAATTGAGTACTTACATTTGTCTTAAGAACATAGAGGAAGAGATTTCTAATTACAATGAATCTAGAAAAGATGTTTTATTACAACAGGGTGAAATAAACAAAACTGTGCAAAAAAATGGAAACCATATCATGGTAGTAGATTCAAATACAAACCTAACCGATGAATATATGAATTGTATGAATAATAAAAAGAATGAATACAATGATACGAAAGAATTTAGAACGAACACTTATGCCAGTATCGAAGAAATTTTTAACGAATCAAGTGTAAATAATTTATATGAAGAACATGAAAATGAAAACGTGAAAAACAATCTTGATAACGTTGACACAAAAGAAGAGAATGGAATAATCATGCTTGATAACATCACTGTACACCATTCTTCTGCAAAACCAAGTGCAGAACCGAATGCTAATGAAACCAATAGTATCATCGAAGGAGTAGAGACAGAAACGGAAGAAAAAACAGAGAGCTTATGCCACCCGGATGGAAAAAAAGAAGTAAGCAGCTCATGTATTAATGAAAAGGATGATGATGATAATGATAATGATGATGATGGGTACTATAAAAAAATTGCTCAAGATACGAAATCCATGAGCTATGACAAATTACATAGGAACAACAAAAGTGATTATTTAAGTAAAGAAGACGAATTGATAAATGATGAAAACGAAGAATGGATTCAAAAGAAGGATGAGGAGGAACACACCACCCTGTTGATTAATGAGTCTTTCAGGAGTAATGAAAATGTTATTTTGTCAATGAATAATGAAGAATTGAAAGAACATTGGTACATGTCAAATAAGGCATTTGATATTTTTTTAAAAGAAAAGGAAAATAAAAACAGTGAAAATGAGGATGTTACCACTACAGCTGAATCGAATGAAGAGAACGGGAATGAGGACGGGAATAAGAACGAGAGTGAGAACAAGAATAAGAACGAGAGTGAGAACGAGAGTGAGAACGAGAATGAGAACGAGAATGATATAAACTTTGATATTGAGATGATTACCCATTGTGATGGAAATGGTGAAGTCGTGGGAAATGGAATTAGCACATTTTACATTAATGAAGATAATTTCAATGAAAATTACAACAGTGAACATGAAATGAGTGAATT